GATAAGGTAAACCACGGCAGACAAACTGTAAAGAGCGGTTACAGTCTGAGAAGAGGAAAGACCCTGTTTGATTGTTCCACTTTTCAAGATTTTGCTTGTTTATTTTCTTCTTCGGAGCAAGATATACATAACATCCCCCTCCCAAAACAATATTTCTGATATATCCGTGTGCCAAAAATGGATCTGGCCCATACCTGGCCCATACTTGGGTCTGCGTGCCAAATATGGATCTGGCCCATATTTGGCACACAGACCCCATGACTAAGTTTGGGGGAATTGACCTTGAGTTATAGGAGTTGTAGTTCACCTAACATCTAGAGAGCACTGAACACAGCCAACGTCGGATCGGGACCAAACTTGGCACACAGATGCAACTAGACCAATTGTGTGTATCCAGGCCTGGTTTGGGAAAGATTGACATATGGGTTTGGGAATTGTAGTTAATCCACATCCTTATGTGTTTTCTTTGTTGTTTATTCGTTCAGTCGCTTCCGACTCTTCATGACCTCCTGTACCAGCCCAGGCCAGAGCTTCCTGTCGGCCGTCACCACCCCCAGCTCCTTCAAGGTCAATCCAGTCACTTCAAGGATGCCATCCATCCATCTTGTCCTTGGTTGGCCCCTCTTCCTTTTTCCTTCCATTTCCCCCAGCATCATTGTCTTCTCCAGGTCTCCTATCTTCTCATGATGTGGCCAAAGTACTTCATCTTTGCCTCTACTATCCTTCCCTCCAATGAGCAGTCGGGCTTTCTTTCCTGAAGTATGGACTGGTTGGATCTTCTTGCGGTTCAAGGCACTCGCAGAAATTTCCTCCAACACCACAGTTCAAAAGTGTCTTTCTTCCTTCACTAAGCCTTCCTTCTGGTCCAGCTCTCACATCCATAGGTGACTACGGGGAATACCATTGCTTTGACTATGCGGGTCTTTGTTGCCAGTGTGATGTCTCTACTCTTCACTATTTTATCGAGATTGCACATTGCTCTCCTCCCAAGAAGTAAGCGTCTCCTGATTTCCTGGCTGCAGTCTGCATCTGCACTAAACTTTGCACCTAGAAATACGATGTCTGTCATGGCCTCCACATTTTCTCCCTCTATTTCCCAGTTGTGAATCATTCTTGTTGCCATAATCTTGGTTTTTTTGATGTTTAGCTGCAACCCAGCTTTTGCGCTTTCTTCTTTCACCTTGATTAGAAGGCTCCTCAGCTCCTCCTCGCTTTCGGCCATCAGAGTGGTGTCATCTGCATATCTGAGGTTGTTAATGTTTCTTCCAGCAATTTTCACCCCAGCTTTGCATTCCTCAAGCCCCGCACATCCTCGCATGATGTGTTCTGCATACAAGTTAAAAAGGTTGGGTGAGAGGATGCAGCCTTGCCGTACGCCTTTCCCAATCTTGAACCAGTCTGTTGTTCCGTGGTCAGTTCTGACTGTTGCTACTTGGTCCTTGTACAGATTCCTCAGGAGAGAGACAAGGGGGCTTGGTATGCCCATCCCACCAAGAACTTGCCACAATTTATTATGATCCACACAGTCAAAGGCTTTAGAATAGTCAATGAAGCAAAAATAGATGTTTTTCTGAAACTCCCTGCCTTTCTCCATTATCCAGCATGCGGATATTGGCAATCTGGTCTCTCGTTCTTCTGCCTTTCCTAAACCCAGCTTGTACAATGTATTGCCGAAGGCTTTCATGGCTACAATCACTGGGTTGTTGTAGGTTTTTACGGGCTATATGGCCATGTTCTAGAGGCATTCTCTCCTGACGTTTCGCCTGCATCTATGGCAAGCATCCTCAGAGGTAGTGAGGTCTGTTGGAACTAGGAAAATGGGTTTATATATCTGTGTCATGACCAGGGTGGGGCAAAGAACTCTTGCCTGTTGGAGCTAGGTGTGAACGTTTCAACTGACCACCTTGATTAGCATTTGATGGCCTGGCAGTTGTTTGGTGTGGCTTGTTAGTGCCTGGTGACAACAAAGAGGAAACAATCAGGGACAGCTAATCACCCCTCAACAAAAGATTCCCCCAGGCACTAACAAGCCACACACAAAAACTACCAGGCCATCAAATGCTAATCAAGGTGGTCAGTTGAAACATTCACACCTAGCTCCAGCAGACAAGAGTCCTTTGTCCCACCCTGGTCATTCCACAGATATATAAACCCCTTTTCCTAGTTCCAATAGACCTCACTACCTCTGAGGATGCTTGCCATAGATGCAGGCGAAACGTCAGGAGAGAATGCCTCTAGAACATGGCCATATAGCCAAAAAAACCTACAACAACCAGCTTGTACATCTGGCAACTCTCTCTCCATGTATTGCTGGGGTCTTCCTTGCAGGATCTTGAGCATTACCTTGCTGGCATGTGAAATAAGTGCCACTGTATGGAAGTTTGAGCATTGTTTAGCAATGCGTTTTCTAATGTGAGCATTTAGAAAAAAGCAAAATAAGAAACTGGCTTTTTGATGTGTTACGTCCACCAATACATACAATACAATACATACTCTACATAGTGTTACTAATTAACTAAATGATATTACTTAACACCCCCTAAACAAACAATACCTTTTTCAAATAACCCGGGCATCGCAGGGTACCCAAGCTAATCCAAAAATAAAACGCATCTGTTCGCGTTGTGGCTTGGATGCATGCTTTGAATGCTCTCAGGCATAAAATGCAAAGCCCTTTGAAAGGAGAAGCTTGAACGTTTAGCATAACTCATGATTGGAAAGAGGATTAGCCTTGAAAGAGAAGAATAAGCGTTCTCAGAGTTCAGATTCCTGCACCTCCAAATTAATTGGATCTTTGGCCTTAACGCTTCGCACTCGGTGCCGGGCTTCCTAAGTCTCGCTATTGGTGGCACTCGGCGCCTCCGTCTACTACCCTATCATTATTGCATTTAATTATTTTGGAAACACTTTGCCCAGCGCATGCTTTTGCCACCGTAGCATGCTTCTTCCTGCAAATGCAATTGACGCTAATTGCAAGCATGGCGTGAACAGGCATTTCTGTTTCCAAAGGGCAGCATTAATAGGGAGTTAAAAGGATCTTTTGAATTGTTTTGAGGGTAGAATACTATATATAACCGAAGAGTGTGATTCAATCCATCGCTCCAAAGGCACATTCACACGGACACACAAGGCAGTAATAATAATAATACATTTTAATACCATAATACTACATAATACAATAATCATACAAAATATAACAAGGCTCAAGGCAGGGAACAACATAGAATTAGAATTCAATGGCTAACTAAGAATACATAAAACCAGCTAAAGCACATAGTTTAAATACACATAAACATAAGATTAAACCACACATTAAAATCATACATACATATAAAAGGTCAATTTAGAATTTATAGTTTAAAATATAGTGTGTATGTCTGCTGAAGGAGAGAAGTTTTGAACATCAGAAGGTACATTTAGCTGTTGGATCTCTTTGTGTTGAATTGGTTGGGGTATTCAGTGAAAAACTATAGCAAAATGTGCTGCAGGATGTTCCTCCTGAAAAAACAAAGTTTTTGTAGTGTAATAGAAAACATCCATTTCTGTTTTGTTGACTACTAGCCGCCTGCTGTGCCAGCTCCACTGGCTGCCGATCCAATTCCGAGCAGAATTCAAAGTGCTGCTCTTGACCTATAAAACCCTATACAGCTCCGGTCCAGCGTACCTGTCCGAACGTATCTCCTTCTACGTCCCACCTTGGAGCTTAAGATCGTCAGGGGAGGCCCTGTTCTCGGCCCTGCCTTTGTCTCAAACACGCTTGGAGGGGATGAGGGACAGGGCCTTCTTGGTGGTGGCCCCCCGCCTGTGGAATTTGCTCCCCGGGGAAATTAGGTCATCGTCATCCCTCCTCACCTTTAGAAAAAAGATTAAAATGTGGCTGTGGGACCAGGCCTTCGGGCAATCATGTTAAAGGACAATTGATAATGTTTGACTATGGCATGGAAGAGGATTTGGATAAGTTAAGTGGAGATATAAGTTAAGTGGGTATAAATAAAGTTAATAATAAAATGGGCAATAGCTATTCAGAGTGTAAGTATACTGTTTTAATCTTTATTTATTAATGCCGAACGTATTCTCCCCTACGAACCATCAAGACCACTAAGATCGTCTGGAGGGGCCCTGCTCTCAGTCCCTCCGCCTGCACAAGCACGGCTGGTGGGGACGAGGGACAGGGCCTTCTCGATGGTGGCCCCTCGACTTTGGAACTCCCTGCCATTAGAGATCAGAACTGCCCCCTCCCTCATGACGTTCAGGAAACTAACAAAGACCTGGTTGTGGAACGCGGCATTTGACAACTGATTTAATTCTTTGCCCACATGAAAGGAGGATGATGAATGGGATTGTGATGGTGTCGGACGATTTGGCTCTTTTAACTGGGATGATAATGTTTTAATGTGTATGGTGCTGATATTTTAATCGTGTAATGAAGTGGCATTGTGTTGTTATTGTATATTCTTTGTATGTTAGCACGTGTTGTGAATCGGTCCGAATCCCTCTTTGAAGGTGAGAGGGTCGGTATATAAAACCTCGAAATAAATCAATCTATATATATAAATCTGTTAGGTTGGTTCAATGGGACAGCAAAACTCTAAAACCCCCCAACGAAACTTAACCAAAATTCCCATGCCCATAACACAAACCACAAGGTGCAAACATATCTACTCAAAATGAAAAACAACACAACAACACACTCACAAAACGGCAAAACAACAAAACTCAAAACCCCCCAACGAAACTTAACCAAAATTCCCATGCCCATAACACAACCCACAAGGTACAAACATATCTACTCAAAATGAAAAACAACACAACAACACACTCACAAAACGGCAAAACAACAAACTCTAAAAACCCCCCAACGAAACTTAACCAAAATTCCCATGCCATAACACAACCCACAAGGTACAAACATATCTACTCAAAATGAAAAACAACACAACAACACACTCACAAAACGGCAAAACAACAAAACTCAAAAATCCCCCAACGACTTAACCAAAATTCCCATGCCCATAACACAACCCACAAGGTACAAACATATCTACTCAAAATGAAAAACAACACAACAACACACTCACAAAATGGCAAAACAACAAAACTCAAAAAACCCCAACGAAACTTAACCAAAATTCCCATGCCCATAACACAACCCACAAGGTACAAACATATCTACTCACAATGAAAAACAACACAACAACACACTCACAAAATGGCAAAACAACAAAACTCAAAAAAACCCCAACGAAACTTAACCAAAATTCCCATGCCCATAACACAACCCACAAGGTACAAACATATCTACTCAAAATGAAAAACAACACAACAACACACTCACAAAATGGCAAAACAACAAAACTCAAAAATCCCCAACGAAACTTAACCAAAATTCCCATGCCCATAACACAACCCACAAGGTATAAACATATCTACTCAAAATGAAAAACAACACAACAACACACTCACAAAACGGCAAAACAACAAAACTCAAAAAAACCCCAACGAAACTTAACCAAAATTCCCATGCCCATAACACAACCCACAAGGTACAAACATATCTACTCAAAATGAAAAACAACACAACAACACACTCACAAAACGGCAAAACAACAAAACTCAAAAAAACCCCAACGAAACTTAACCAAAATTCCCATGCCCATAACACAACCCACAAGGTACAAACATATCTACTCACAATGAAAAACAACACAACAACACACTCACAAAATGGCAAAACAACTGAGCATGCGCATTGGCGCCCAGCCGCAGAAGAGAAAGAAAAAGGGGGAAGGAAGGAAAGAGGTAGAGAAGGAAGAAAAGAGACCAGAAGAGAAAGAAAAAGGGGGAAGGAAGGAAGGAGAGAAGGAAAGAAAAAAGGGAATGAAGGAAGGAAAGAGGGAGTGAAGGAAGGGGGAAGATGTAGAGAAAGAGGGAGGGAAGAAAGAAGGAAAGAGAGAAGGAAGAAAAGAGACCAGAAGAGAAAGAAAAAGGGGGAAGGAAGGAAAGAGATAGAGAAGGAAGAGGAGAAGGAAAAATGGGAGGGAAGGAAGGAAGGAAGGAAGGAAGGAAGGAAGGAAGGAAGGAAGGAAGGAAGGAAGGAAGGAAGGAAGGAAGGAGGGAGGGAAAGGAGAGAAAGAGAGAAGGTTGGCCACAGCAACACGTGGCGGGTAAAGGTTGTTATTTCTATTATTATTATTATGCTATTGTTCCTATGAGACCCTTTTAGGGGGAATGGGAGAGGTGTCAGGTCCCAGAGGCAATGCATTGCATTATTGTTATTGTTATGATGGTGGTGAAATAAAAGGAAATAAAAAGAGAAAGAAGGAAGCAAACAGGGAGGGAAGAAAGGCAAAGGAAGAAAGGGGGAGGGAATGAAGGAAAGAGAGAAGGATGAAACCAAGTAGTGAAAGAAGGAAAGAAAGAAAGAGGTAGAGAAGGAAGAAAGGAGAGAAAGGGGGAGGAAAAGGGGGAAGGAATAGGTAGGTACCTCTCTTTCATAATAGTCCAGATATCTACCTCAACTTTGATAAGTTTTACTATAGGCCACAGCAACGCGTGGCAGGGCACAGCTAGTAATAAATAAATAAATAAATAAATAAATAAATGTTCATGTATAATTGTTATATGGCTGCTGGCAATGTCATTATGTGTTAGGAATTAAATAGTTGTTCATAAAGACCTTCCAGTACAACCCCGTCAGACAGGAACACCCAATCATAGCATCGAACAGGGTATAGGGTTACAGCCTGTGCTAGACGGGGTCGCACTCCCCCTAAAGGCACAGGTTCGCAGCTTGGGTGTGACTCTGGATTCTTCGCTAAGCTTGGAACCCCAAGTTTCAGCGGTGTCCAGAGGAGCATTTGCACAGCTTCGGCTCGTGCGCCAGTTGCGCCCGTATCTTGGGAAGTCGGACTTGGCCACGGTAGTCCACGCTCTTGTCACATCCCGTATAGATTACTGCAACGCGCTCTACGTGGGGTTGCCCTTGAAGACTGCCCGGAAGCTTCAGATGGTCCAGCGTTCGGCAGCCAGGTTGCTAACGGGAGCGGCACTCCGGGAGCACACCACTCCTCTGTTGAGCCAGCTCCACTGGCTGCCAATTTGCTACCGGGCACAATTCAAGGTGCTGGCTTTAGCCTATAAAGCCCTACACGGTTCTGGCCCCTACCTCTCCGAACGCATCTCCTCCTATGAACCAGCTAGGACATTAAGATCATCTGGGGAGGCCCTGCTCTCTGTCCCGCCTGCATCACAGGTGCGCTTGGCGGGGATGAGAGACAGGGCCTTCTCAGTGGTGGCCCCTCGGCTGATGGAACGCCCTACCAGCGGACATCAGGCAGGCCCCTTCGCTATTGGCGTTTAGGAGGAGGGTTAAGACGTGGCTCTTCGAACAGGCGTTCGGATAAATATGCAATAACAACTGACTCAGGAATGATGGCACATTGAACAAGGAATGGTAATACGACTGTGAGATCGAGATCTGATTCTAATGAGGCGTGATGATTTTTATGTGTATTGTTTGTGTATGTTTGTTATATAGATTGTTCAGTGTTGCACATTTTATTGTAAACCGCTTCGAGTCGCCTTTTTAGGCTGATATTTGCGGTATACAAAAGAAGTAAATAAATAAATAAATAAATAAATAAATCCCCGACAGATGGCTATACTCCAAGGCAGCATATTCCATTGCATTTATACATACATTTATTCTGTATTTTATGATGCAGCATTGAATTATTGCCAATTGTAAGCCGCCCTGAGTCCCCCCAGGGGTTGAGAAGGGCGGGGTAGAAATGTTCGAAATAAATAAATAAATAGCCATTCACTGCCAGGTGTTGCTGTGGACCAGTCTGGTGATCTGGAAAATCAAGTAATGAGAAAGTGTTGGTTTCTAATATATGTAACATCTTTATAAAAGGTAAAGGTAGTCCCCTGACATTAAGTCCAGTCATGTCTGACTCTGGGGTGTGGTGCTCATCTCCATTTCTAAGCCGAAGAGCCAGCGTTGTCCGTAGACACCTCCAAGGTCATGTGGCCGGCATGACTGCATGGAGCGCCGTTACCTTCCCGCCGGAGCGGTACCTATCGATCTACTCACATTTGCATGTTTTCAAACTGCTAGGTTGGCAGAAGCTAGGGCTGAGAGCGGAAGCTCACACCGCTCCCCGGAATCGAACCTGCGACCTTTCGATCAACAAGCTCAGCAGCTCAGCGCTTTAACCCACTGCGCCACCACTTGGGGGTAAACAGTACGTAGTGTTACATAACGTAATCAAACCTGCAAAAAGTCAAAAAGAGTGATGTAGAGGACGGCTATAATTTAAAACAACAGATCTCACACAAAAAAACGAACAGGCCAAATGAGGACGCTTGGATCATTTCAATTAAATAAATGGAAGATAGTCCAATGGTTTTGTATTACCGGTAATATAAAGTGGTTTTAGCCACGAAGAAGAAGCGCACTTCCTGACCTGAAAGCAGAGCGAGAGAGCAAAAATGGATTCTGGTGCCAGGAAATATATTCTTCCAGTGTCTTTTGGCCATGTGTAACAGCTATGATTTGTACAGCACCACTCTTATATATATATATATATATATATATATATATATATATATATATGGTGTTGATGTCTTTCGCCTACTCTATTTTGGTTGGAGAAAAGAGGAAATTGCTGATGTGCAGGAAGGGCATGATCAATCTCTCAGCAAATCTTTCCAACCTACACAGAAAATGTAAGTCAGCATAAGCCACTCACATAATTGCCTTTAAAACATTCTACCAAATGTACTTCTCCCCAGCATGCCCAGATATCATAGCTTTCGGTGCTTCTACATTGCAGAATTAATGCATTTTGACACCACTTTAATTGCCATGGCTCAATGCTATGGGATCATAGGAACTGTAGAAGCGCTAGCAGCGTTTGTGAGAGAAGGCCAAAGACCTTGTAAAACTACAGCTCTTGTGGTTTCCATTGCATTGAGCTATGGTAGTTCAAGTGGGACCAAACTGCATTAACTCTGCAGTGTAGATGAACCCTTGGTTTGGGTTGTTGTAGGTTTTTTTGGGCTATATGGCCATGGTCTAGAGGCATTCTCTCCTGACGTTTCGCCTGCATCTATGGCAAGCATCCTCAGAGGTAGTGAGGTATGTTGGAACTAGGAAAATTGGGTTTATATATCTGTGGAATGACCAGGGTGGGACAAAGGACTCTTGTCTGCTGGAGCTAGGTGTGAATGTTTCAACTGACCACCTTGATTAGCATATAATGGCCTGACAGTGCCTAGAGCAAACTTTTGTTGAGAGGTGATTAGATGGTTTCTTGGTTTCTCTTCTTTGGGGGAAGAATCTCAGGGTGACAGCACTACCTTGAGAAATGTGTGGTGGCAAAGTTTCTATAATTCTTAAATTTAGCAGGTGGGATGGGATTGATATATTTTGCGCAACTGTGGCTTATGCTGGATGCATCATGTTTCATGGCATCACCAAGATCTGCGCCTTATGAATCACAGGAATCAGCCCTAGGCCTCAGGTTTTGGACCTTCCAGAGACAAGATTCGGCAATCCTGCATCATCACATCCAAATCGCATGCAAATATCAGGAAGATAAGCAAGGATGTGATGACAAAAGGCGTGCCTACATTGTAAAACAAATGCAGTTTGGCACCACTGTCGTCGAGGGCATCCCAAACCCCTGCCTTCAAGCTGGTGTAGCCAGCAGCAGGGAGTTCCGCAGTTCCTGGATGCAAAGATTGGGCCAGACTGATGAAAAGTGCCCCAACAGCAAGCTCAGCCAGGGACTCTGCACAGCCATAGGCTCTTTCCTTTCACTTCCCTACTAAGCATGAAACTAACCTTTTCCAGGCTGCACTCCGCCAAACCGCGGATACTGAAACCCCCCTTTTGGGCCCCAGTATCCGCGAGATGGTGGATCGCTTCTATTTTGGTGGAATATTTTTCCTAGCTAAATTCTAACACTATCTGCTATCTCGCTTTTTGCATTTCGGGCTTCTACGCCCAGAGAATAATCATTTAAGTTTAAATAATATATTTTACAAGAAACAGCTGATTGTCAAAAAGCCGGCTCCATTGCTGCTGTGCTGCTTCGCCATTTTCATCGCCCCTGCCAGACCCCGGCCCTGAAGGTGCGGCTACCCCATGAGGCTTTCAGGGAAGAGCCTGACCTTGGGGGCCCAGTCCTTGGAGGGAGTTATAGTTTCCCAAGGACCAAAGACCAACTCGATCCTGGCATTGCAGAAATCCATTCTTTGGCTCAGTGAAGATAATCAAACACCTTTCCGTGACAGTTGGACTTTCCTCAATTTCTTTTTGGCTCAAAGGAACTCATTTTCACGTCTGAACTTCCCGCTTCCCTTCTTCTGATTCGCCAAGGTCATGTGGCCGACATGACTGCATGGAGCGCCGTGTTTGTATATGTTGTTGTTGTTGTTCATTCGTTCAGTCGTCTCCAACTCTTCGTGACCTCATGGACCAGCCCACGCCAGAGCTCCCTGTCGGCCGTCACCACCCCCAGCTCCTTCAAGGTCAGTCCAGTCACTTCAAGGATGCCATCCATCCATCTTGCCCTTGGTCGGCCCCTCTTCCTTTTGCCTTCCACTTTCCCCAGCATCATTGTCTTCTCTAGCTTTCCTGTCCCCTCATGATGTGGCCAAAGTACTTCAACTTTGTCTCTAGTATCCTTCCCTCCAATGAGCAGTCGGGCTTTATTTCCTGGAGGATGGACTGGTTGGATCTTCTCGCAGTCCAAGGCACTCTCAGCACTTTCCTCCAGCACCACAGCTCAAAAGCATCTCTCTTCCTTCGCTCAGCCTTCCCTAAGGTCCAGCTCTCACATCCGTAGGTGACTACAGGGAAGACCATGGCTTTGACTAGGCGGATCTTTGTTGCCAGTCTGATGTCTCTACTCTTTACTATTTTATCGAAACTGGACATTGCTCTCCTCCCAAGAAGTAAGCGTCTTCTGATTTCCTGGCCACAGTCTGCATCTGCAGTAATCTTTGCGCCTAGAAATACAAA